TTAATCAGATCCATTAAACTGATCCTGTACAAATCCCATTCCCTTGATCAGACCCATTAAACTGATCCTGTACAAATCCCATTCCCTTGATCAGACCCATTAAACTGATCCTGTACAAATCCCATTCCCTTGATCAGACACATTAAACTGATCCTGTACAAATCATTCCCTTGATTAGACCCATTAAATTGGACATATTTTTCAAACAGTATAAGCACCTTATAGTATGTATCTGGCAACTGGTAATAACTTAGAAAAAATTCAATTACTTATTTTATATTGCAAATAACTTAGAAACATCTTACACAAAACAAGTTGTTATTCAGACGTTACAATATCTTTTACCTCTTGTTATTACAGTTATTATGTTTTTATAAAATCATTTTTTGGAATAACAGATATTTTTCTCAAGGTATATCCTGGCAAATTTCTTCCTAAATCTTTCATCGACTCAAATGATCGTTGGTCTTTGTTGAGAAGGTTTTCAAATATAAAAGGATTAACTCACTGAGTATAACTAGCTAGAAGTCTCACTCAATCAAAAATCATCATCATAATAACAAGATTTGAGAGGACTTTAGGTTTAAAATTAAAAAGGGAAAACTTTGTGAGCTCATTTGCATATATACTATTTGTGTGTGTGGAGAGGTTGTATTAAGCAGATCATATTGGATGTGCTTTATGAAATGATATAAAAAATAAACTTTCTGTGAAAGAATGTCAAATAATTTTAATTAGATATTTTTAAAAACATGCATCTTGCAATTGTCTTGCACCTTTCTCAAGTTTTATACTTTTTGAACAAATTTTAAACTAACATAGTATAGGTGGAAAATAAAACAAAGATGTGAATAGAACAACACATTATCAGTTACCTGGTTTTTATCAAGTTCACAATTTTTATACTCCTGCTCTCCTTCGTTCTGGAAAGTAACGATGACAAAACCTACGAAGATATTGACCATAAAAAAGGCAATGATGATGATGTAGACAATGAAAAAGACAGCAACCACTGGACGATTGTTATGAATAGGTCCCCTATCTTCGGCATTTGAGTTAATGGCCGTGTATAGTAGGCTGAAAAATATAAACCAAATGAATATCTAATATCTGATATCAAATTTACATTTTTACCAGCTAACTTATCTTGTTTTACAGCAAGTTTGTTTTTTGTAGTTAGGCATAGAGCTACACAATGGGCTATCTGTGATGTGCCCAGAACAATGACAAGACATAAAAGTTTTATTTATAATGTGACAATTAAATTTATCAGACAAGTTTATAAAGTAACTATTAATGATAAGCCCTGAAATGTTGATGTTATACAAAAGAAAAATGCCCTTTATGCCCAATATGCATGTAAGTTTTTTTCCTCAGGAATTTTATTTTTTGATAAGTACAAAGCTACACAATGGGATATTTGTGCTGTGCCTGTATTAAAACCTGGTTTTAGTGTTATAAGCTTTCAGACTTACTGCTGAGAAGTCATTGGAGAGGGGGGGGGGGACTTTTCTCCAGGAAAAATGTTCAATATAAAAATTAAGATGAGAACAAAAACAATAAAAGTTAGAAAATAGCAACTTTCTCCATCTGGTGGGGTTTTAACCCTTACATCTCACCAGGGGTAATACGTCAAGATTCCCCTTGCTTAGATATATTAGTTTCTACTGGCACCCTTGATATAGGTCAAGGTCACAGAACACAGACTAATGTGAAAAAAAATCTTGGTTATAATCTCGTCAAAACTCAAAGGTTACAGTTACATCACATAAAAATCGAATTGTGAGTAAAAATGTCAAACTATAACCAAGTACGACTTACAAACTGTATACAAAACAAATTGTACAGCTAATTTACTTATCTGTTTGATTTTACTTAAGCACAAAACTACACAATGGGCTTTCTGCACTGTATCCACTGAGGGATCAAATCCGAAATTTGAATATTATAAGCCTTCACGCTTACTGGTGAACCACCAGGGGTGGTTCATTTACTAAAACTGTATTTATTCTCTGTTTGTTAGTTTTAACACAATGCTATATAATAGGCTACTTATACTCAGCTCACCCTGGGTAATCAAACCCTAGATTTAAACTTTGTAACTCCATAAACTCACTTCTCACCTACTTAGGAACAACTAATACTGAAATAAATTTTGAAATTATGATTGAAATACAACCTTATTCCAGAAGACTAACAACCAGCCCAGGCTAAGATTTCAATGATACAGTGGAACACTGCATATTATCTTAATTACAAGAGTCCACTCAGGACGAGTCATAGAACTGGAACAAAACTTTATCAGGAGAAAGTTTCGAGTACAATTACCATTAAACTTATAAAAGATATACAATATTTGAATTCCAGCATATGTGACCTTGAAGACCTACTTTTGTTGTTGTTGGTATTTCTAAAAAACATAACTGTATTTAAAGACTTACCCAGGCCAACCTTCAAATGTCGACACTGTACATAACGTGAGCATTCCTTTGGCAACATCATCAAAATTAAATGGATTATTTTCCCAGTTTCTTTCTTGCACTATGGGTTTTGATATGTCCCCATTCAAATATTGGAGGAAAATTCCTCTGTAAAGAAAATAAATTATGTTATATCTTAAAAAAATTACAAACTGTCTACTATTAACGCTACAACTGAAATACTACTTAATCAGAACTTCTAATTTTCTACAAACCAAAATATAAAAGTAGATACTAAACAACATGTCGCATTACTTAGCTCAAGCTTTAATTTCGATGACGAGAAACCCACTTTGAGATTAATAATAGTTGGAGACGGCTTGAATGGGTAATGAAAAAAAAATTTAATATAAGTTTAACATAACAGCAAATGTACAACGTTTCGACAAGGTTCAACAAAACCTTGTCAAAACATTGTACATTTGCTGTTATGTTAAACTTATATTAAAGTTTTTCTTCATTACCCAATCAAGCCATCTCCAACCATTATCAAGCTTTAGTTTCATCTATTTACCTCGGTTAAAATAACAATACATTTTGTATACCTAAAAATGAAATAGCTTTAAGATATTTTATAAACCAAACGAATAAGTTTTACATCAAGAAATTTACCTGCATTCTTCCTCTGTCATTTTGGAAGGATCATTACATAAGAAAAACTTTCCCTGTAAGAACAAATACATATGTAGGTATAATATAATATAGCTATAATATATATAATATAATATAGACTATTATAGCTATAATACAGAGCAGTATTTCATTAGTTATCTGTGAAAGACTTCTTTCACTGTTACTAACTAACTTCATTCAAAATACTTTATAAACACTACTTTTTTAAAACACTGAAACACAACACAACAGGTTATATATAGTAATAATAATAATGAAACAGATCTTCATTAGGACTGTGTAGGAAAGTCATGAGAGGTTAAATTGCGAACCACAGATTTTTGCTGTGACAGAAAGCTGAGGGGGTGCAACCCTGAAACATGTAAAACTACAAGTTATATCTAGAAAACTTCACCTTAGTACAAATTATTATTATCTATACACAATTATGGAACACCTAGGTCAACAAAAACATGGTTAAAATAAATGTTTATTACAACAATGTGTGTTACAAATGTGGTTCATAGGTATTGCTGTTAACAAACTATGTTGATTTGCTTAAAAACTGACTAGCCAAAGATTTTTTTCTTACATATGAGAATAATGCTATCCTAACTAAGATTTTATTATATCAAATTTAAGTTAGATATGTGCATGCACGTTGATGACCAGCCAAAATCCATAGTAAGGAACTACTGGATATCGTGTATGGTAACATCAAAATAAGATTAAAAGCCCATTAAAGTTAATATTTTGTAGCTGTTTAGACTTGTTGTTCAAGTCAACAAGTATATCTTTAGGTCATTCTTAATTACCTTTGGTACTTATAGTTACATATCCAGCATGAAACTGATAATAAATGTATTAAGAATCAAGTTTATTTTGAAATAAGTTATCCAATTTCAAACAGGGATTTGAAATTTTAGTAAGCTTTTATAAACAATTTTATTATCTCTAATAAATCATCCACTATTCTTCATTTGCCATGGTAGTTACAAAATAAAAGTTTTGGACTGCTCCAAAAGGTTAAGATGTGGAACACAAATGCAGCTAGAGAGTTAAGGTGAGGAGAATTGTAGAATATGTAAAATAGCAGGTTAAAACTGTGTTGAAAACAGTTGAAATAGAACTTGATGTTGTAGGTGTGTTTGTTGTTGATAGCATTAGGGGAATAAGGATATCCACAGTGTTGGGGGAGTAAGGATATCCATAGTGTTAGGGAAGTAAAGATATCCATAGCATTAGAGGAGTAATGATATCCATAGTATTAGAGGAGTAATGATATCCATAGTTTTTGAGGCATGAGTATATCCATTGTGTTAGGGGAATAAGGATATCCACAGTATTATTGGAGTAAAGATATCCATAGTTTTTGGGGCATAAGTATATCCACAGTGTTGAGGGAGTAAGGATATCCATAGTTTTTTGGAAATAAGGATATCCTCAATGTTAGGGGAGTAAAGATATCATAGTTTTAGGAGAGTAAAGATATCAATAAATAATTTTAGGGGAATAAGGATATCCATAGTGTTAGGGAAGTAAGGATATCCATAGTGTTAGGGAAGTAAGGATATCCATAGTTTTTTGGAAATAAGGATATCCTCAGTTTTAGGGAAGTAAGGATATCCTTATTGTTAGGGGAGTAAAGATATCCACAGTGTTAAGGGAATAAGGATATTCACAGTGTTAGAGGAATAAAGATATCCTTATTGTTAGGGGAGTAAAGATATCCACAGTGTTAAGGGAATAAGGATATTCACAGTGTTAGAGGAATAAAGATATCCTTATTGTTAGGGGAGTAAAGATATTCACAGTGTTAGAGGAATAAAGATATCCTTATTGTTAAGGGAGTAAAGATATCCACAGTGTTAAGGGAATATGTTTTTAATTTAATTTTTGGTCTCTGTTGGTGATACAAATATAAAAAGCTCCTTTTTGTTTTGTTTTCTGGGTTTTCCAAGCTGGATCTTAGTCAAGGATAGAAACAGAATTCAACTTAAGATAGCCATCCAACACTGTTGAATCCTGTGATTACTCTATAAATCTCGTTTGGCTTCAGTGTTAATTCTGGTCTGTAGGTACAAACCTGATTTACCAAGGTACAATTCACCACCGTGACAGCTGATTTTGTGTGCACAGTTTTATTGTTTTGTGGGACCTTTGGGTAGTTTGGTATTGATGAGTTTCTATATATGTAAGTTAAATTTTGGAGGAAATATGAACTCTGAGTTTATGGCTTCTGTCAAGGCTATATACAAGTATAATAGTGGAATTATTATCGTAATCTCCAAATTCCGATATAGGCCTAACACTTGAATTGTTTTAGTCCCAAGGTTCAACTACTTGAAAAAAGGGTCTATTTATATTTTTACATACACATTAAAACATCAGAATTTTTAACTTTCACATTTATTAGAAACTAGCTGTAGTAATAATGTTTTCTAAATTGCATTGGATTGCCGATACATTTTCCTTGTTTTTCCATGAGGCCCTTCTCATTGTCTCGTGGGTAGTACAAAATTCTAAAGATAGATACCGCCACATCCAAGTCAGAATTACCACATGGTGACTTCTGTAAAATGAAACGTAACTTTTCTGTTCGATGTTGCAGTATTGAATCAAAGCATACTGCAGACAAAGGATCTCAATTTGATTGAAACACTATGTGATAATTGAACATTTTAAGCCTTTTATGACGGAGATCCCTCTTTTTTAAGTGGTGCACTGTTACCTAGGACACATGGACAGCTTTGATCACTCACTTTTGTGTTCATGGATTCTTACCTGTTACTAGATTCCACACTTTGCTTATCATGGCTCTGAGGTATGACTTGTTGTAGTTCTCATTTTGAATGGTCTTTGTGTCCCAACTTAATCCATATTCCTTTGTTTTCCAAGACCATTAAGCATAAAGGATATTCCTGTCTTGGAAAATTTTAAATCTGTAATCTAAATATATCTTTATGATCTAAGTGTATGAATATTTTGTATTAGAAAAGATGCTGCTAAATACTTTTCTCAAAAGTGATCAATTTTTGGTGGCATCACACTACCTACAAATGTCAATCATGTCAAAATGTGGTTGTGCCATTCACTGTAGCTTTATATTGGCTGTTGTTGTGAGATGATTTGCACGTTCAAAATCATTTTAATGCAAGTAATCAATGCATTGTAGGATTAAAGGAACTTCACGAAGGTAATTTTAGTCTGCGTCCCTGGAACACATAATAAAGCCATTTTCTCCATCTCCAATGTTAAAAATATGTGGATTTGCAAACCCTAGTAGGTGTTTTAACTCAAAACCCTTAAATACTGAAACACAAACCCTAGTAGGTGTTTGAAC